CTGACGGTTGGTGCCTACTGACGTCAGCTCCCTAGACTATGTTCGTATCAGTGAACCCGATTTCACTAAGCCACTTAAACCTTTACGTTTTCCAGACAAACCAAATATGTGATCTCCTAAGTAGTTGTAGCCTATTTCCCAAACCCGCAGATCCCATGGAGAAAGCCAAGCTGTTGGAAGGGCATTGTAATCTACCTGGAAAGTAAGCTTGTAAAAACAGTCCTCACAAGGGGTGGACAGGTGAGGGAGGGGGGCATGAGTATAAAACGGAAGATAAACAGCTTCCTGCAATCATTTCCATCCTATCTTCCCATCTGAACAACCTGTATAATAGCCTCGTTTTACCTTCATAGCCAGCCTTCTCCTTCCACACTAAAAACTAATGTTGTAATTAATCTTACTGGGATCACTACCAAAGAAAAGTTTTCCTTGAGTTAGATTCTGTGGTCAAAGAGAAAAGAAGGAATTGCCAAGGAACTAGAAAGAGAAGTGCATTTAATTTAGGACTATCACTATTGGCGCGTCCTCAGCTCTCATAGGTTCCGTACTCTCGCGGGAATTCCTGTGTGCATCGGGATACTCCATCTTTAGAAAATACTGTGCGCCCAAATCCCAGACATCAGAGTCCAGTGCAAAAGCAAAATTCTCTAATAGTTTTCATATCTGTAAGGGCAAAATTAGATGTGTCCAGAAGATTCCATTGGTCTAGTCTGATAAAAGACATGGTTGCTCACAGAACCATCCTAACAAAGGGCACCAGTAAATCCACCTGTCACATCCAATTCTTAATAGTTCCACAGGTATGACCTGTATATATCTCTTCACCTTCTCTCTCTCTTCCCTGTCCTCACCATTCTCGTTCTATCTCACACATATGCATACATACACTGTCACACAAAAACCTATGTATGTAACGCATATGTGTATATAATGCCAGGAGTTTCCATTTGAGTAATAAAAACCAACCATTTGGGTGTCTTTCGATATCATGCTTGCAGACTGTTCTGTTGCCACTGTACAACCAACTAAAGAGTTCACTTTCATCCATGGATTGTAAACAAAAAACACCTGATTATTTGTTCATCTCTATTCATTGTTAGAGGTAATTTATCAGAAAATAATCCTATTGTAACCTTCAGGGGATGAAATAAATGAGAAGGATATTCAAGAGGTACTTGCCAGCTAGTATTACTTGCTTTCTCTCAATGCCAAGATAGAGGATATAGAATTTGCCATTTGGAAGAGTTATTTGAATGGAAGCTATATTCAATGGAAAGGCCATTATTTGCCGAGCATTTTGGGAAAAGCTGACTAACCGGGGAGGAAGCATACAGGGTTTAACCCACCACCAGCATGCCCAAAGGCCAGAAGTAGTGGCAATAACATTTATTGTTGCTCTTGTTAAGTGTCACTGAGTTGGTTCTGACTTATAGCCACCCTGTATAGGATTTCCGGGGAGTGGCTGGTGGGTTTGAACTGCCGACCTTGTAGTTAGCAGTCCAGGGCTTATCCTACATCATGTTTGGAAATGTCTAAAAAGAAAACCTTACTATTTCTAATATGTCATATATTATACTTCTGTGAGTTTATATATTAATTATTTTATATTATACATTGCTATGAGGAGCCTATCCACCTATCACATCCAACTCTGGATTGGCACTGGACTGCTAACTGCAAAGTTGGCAGTTCAAACACACCAGCTGCTCTGTAGAGGAAAGATAAGACTTTCCAGTTACGTCAAGATTTACAGCTTCGATGGCAGTGGATTTGCTTGTTTGTTTATATTACATACATTAATAAATATGTGAATTCCTGTTTGAAAATCATTTGAAAGATAGTAGAATTAAGGTTATTTTTGCCAAGTTTACATCCTAAAATTGGCGAAAATGAATCTGGGAAGAGTGCTGTTACTTTGTGGGAACTGCAATCCATGTCACAAAACAAAATGTGTAAGAATTGTTAAATGAAAAATGAATTTGCTCTGTAAACTTTTGCACAAATAACAACTAAAAAGAAAAAAACAATGGATCTGAATTAAGCCTTATTGGTATGAAATATTGGATAAGCCTAGACTGAGAACCACAAGACCAGCCAGCCGTTCCAACCCACCAGCTGCTCCTCGGAAATGCTATACAGGCTCACTATGAATCAGAACCTACTCGACGGCACGTAACAATAAGAAGACCTATGCTTAAAGGAAAAGGATGAAGAGAAGCCAGAATTTTTTGCAAGTTAATCCTAACATGTATCACCTCTTTATAGGGGTGGGAACATTCTTTATAACAAAAGTAAAAATGGATATAAGAGTGTTTTAGTGATTCTTGATTTACAAGAAGTATTAAACATGCAACTGATACTTGGCCTGTCTAGTCGCTAATTTCTGGATTAGTTTTCTCTCCATTTTAAGTCATTGATTCTCTATTTCAAAAAGAGATTGAACCTGGGTGGAGACCTGGTTGGCCAGCAGTGTGGCAAGACCTGGGGACTCCTGGGCCCAGAGTCAGTGACATAGCCACAGAGGACTACAGTGGAGAGTGAAGTGTCCAGCTGATAAGAAGAGAGGACATATGCACAAGAACACCTACACTTGCAGATAATACCCACTTGACCTGACTTCAATGACTGGATGATCAGAGCTCAACTAGAAAAAGAAAAAAGAGGGAAAAAAAAGAGTAATCTGATACAACTTGATGAACTTGACCTACACCTATGGATGCAGTAGCTCAAAAGAGGGAACAAATCTTTACAGCAAGGCTCATTCCCACCCCCTCCATACACAGAGTAGACAGGTTGGGCAACTTGGACATGGGGGAGGGGGACTACAAAGGCAAGAAGTGACAGGCTTACAAGCTTTCAAGAGGGAGCCTAGATCCAGAGGGCATGGAGGAAGATAGAATCTCTCCACTGAGTAGTATCCAATCTGTCTGGGCGGGACTGATGAAAAGAGATGTGGATAAATAATTACTATCAGAACTGATTGTGAGGTTTGGAAATATAAAGGTAGATGTTTTGTAGCAAAAGCAGGGCCGTGGTAGACTTTGCAGTCCAGGAGCAGAGGTTCCTGGGACCATCAAGGGAGAAGAGCAGAGAGCGGGACCCTACCCAGAGAACCAGTGATGCCAGAGATGGAGGCAGAGACAATGACATAGAGAGATGGAGCAGCTGGGAACTCTAGACCCAGAGAGGGAGAGGGGCTGTGTGCTGAGGACCAGGGGCAGGCTTGCAAGGTATACCATTTGCTTGGTTGATGATACATGGAGGGGATTGTAACCATGGCAATGAAATGATATGCGATAGGATGAATGTAAAGCTAATGTACTCCCATGTAAACTATCACATAATTCACAATAAAACATTAAAAAAAAGAGGGGGGGTATTGAAGCTATTCAAGACTTAGGATCTATCTTTCATAATAAAGATAAAGGGAAAGAAAACACTACAAGTTCATATTAGGAATTTACGTCTTCTCAGGGTGCTCTCTTCACGAAGAAAATTACACAAGGCAGAGTACTAAAAGTGTTTAGGAACACAGAAGGATTGGAGACCTTTTTTGTTTTTTTGTTTTTAACTTTTTTTGTGTGTTGATTGAGGGAAAGTTTACAGAGCAGACTGTTAGCTTTATAGTCAATAAATCATACATCTTGTTTCATCTCAATGATTGCAGTCCCCTCATTGTACCATCATTTATCCCACTTCCTCCCTGTGTTTCTCATTTCCATCCCTCCTCCTTTCCCACCCTTCTGAACTTTGTCCTTGGGTAAATGTTGCCCTTTTAGTCCAAACTGGTTGACCATTCTATGGTATATTTATCTCACTAATGTTGTTGTCTCCCATGCATATCTGTCTATTGCTTGGCTGAAAATTGAGCCATGAAGATAAGCTCAGTTCCAAACCTAACAGGTGACCAAGAACCACAGTGTCAGGGTATATCTGGCCAATAAGTCTGGTCTTTTGTATGATTTTGAGTTTTGGTCCACATTTTTCTCCCACTCTTTCCTGGACCTCATATTGTGATCCCTTTCATAGCAGTCAGTAATGGTAGTGGGCACCATCGATTTCTTCCAGTCTCAGGGCCGTGGAGATTGATAGTCATGTTGTCTATTAGTCCATTGGACTCATTGTCCAATGTAAAGGTGTGCAATTCAAATCCATCAGCTACTCTCCAGGAGAAATATGTGGCAGCCAACTTTCACCCAAAAAGATTTACAGTCTTGGAAACTGTGTGTGCCAGTTCTACTCTGAGACGGAACCAACTCCATGGCAGTAAGTTTGATTTTCAGTTAAATGAGGAGGTTTCCAAAAGTTTGTGGAAATTTTCCATTATCTTTTCTTTTCATTTCCCACTAACTGTTTGAAGACCCCTCATATAGGATCAATCTGGAAAGATCAAACATGAGAAGCGTGTTTGGACAATCAGGTGATACACAGAAACACAAGATCTCTAAATGGGGTATCTCTAAATACCACTCTTATATACGCTGTGGTAACCACGTCTTTGTTTAAACTAGGGCCATTGTTCTTGTTTCTTCCTGCAATGTTTGGTGTCTTTCTGTACATGCAAGACATGCTCAATAAACACTTATTGAAATAATTAAGGGCTGATGCCAGCTTTGGGACAGTGAGGATAATGATGACAGCGTTTAATTAAAATAGGCAATATGCCCCTTTTTTCACTGTTTCTAACTACCTTTCTTTTAAATAATAAGAAATATGATGTGAATATATGCCCATCTGTCTCCGTCATTTCCGTGTCAATACAGTATGAATAAAAGATTTAACATTGTCCTCCAGAGTTACTATAGCATGCTTTTAGAGCATATACAACTCAAGTGCTTAGCTTTAGCTTGAAAGTAGTTTTATGTCCTAAAATGATATATATAACAATGGCTGAATCAAATTGTTTACTATGTTGGAAGAAACTTTAAAATAACACATTGAGAAATCAATTTTAAAGCATTGACATTAATCTTTTTTTTTTTTTTCACCCTATTTTATAGGACTTATTTCACCAAAAGCAAGATGGCAGAACTCAATACACATGTGAATGTCAAGGAAAAGGTAAGCTCAAGTTACGGTTGGCTCACAGAAACTCCAGACTGGATAATGTGGCTAGTAAAACTCTATCACAATGGAAAAACAAAAACAAAAATGATTTTTGGGACTGAATAGTGAGTTTGCAACACTAGAAAACAACTTAAGTGTGTTAAGCAAATTACAGTGATTATCTCATTTAATCCTGACCAAAGCCCCATGAAGTAGATTCTGTTGTTATGCCCATTTTACAGAGAAGAGAATTGAAACACAGAAAAGTTACGTGATTTGCCTAAATTCACATATTTAACAACTGAGGAGCTGGACATACTCATAACCATCAGGCTAGACTTCATCGAAGAGCTAGGGTGTTATGTTACCTCTCCAGATCTGACCCCATTTAGAGATCTTGTGTTTCTGTGTATCACCTGATTGTCATGCTGGGTCACCTTTAAAGCTGCTTTTAACCTTGAGAGGAGATGACTCTGAAAATCCCTACTGCTCATCATTTGTTAGAGGCTGGTTACACTTTAACGCCCTTCTAAAGTCCTGCTCTCCTTGTGAAATTTCCCTCATTTGTCACATGTGTGCCCTTATACTGTTAGGTCTTAATGATTGTAAACCATAGACCATAAGAGAGCATGGAGATAAATGTGTCCAATCCATTCATCTGGCCCCAGAGGCACTGAGAGCCTAGAAGTGACTTATGCTGGACCGTACAGCTAGAGGGAGAGTGCTCTGTGCCACCATTTCCCAGGGTTGCCTCCCAGTCGCCACTGAACTGGAAACTTCCTGAGACAAAACAGTATTGAAAATAGGGTGTGAAGGATGGGATGTTTGTGGACTAGCAGAGATGTTCTAGAGCCCTACTTCGTGCCACATACACAGTAAATCTTGGTGCCAAAGAAGCCCTATTGGTGCAGTGGTTAAGTGCATGGCTACTAACCAAAAAGAGTCCCCATGGCTCTGGGGGAGAAAGCTGGCAACTTGCTCCCATAAGGATTACAGCCAAGAAAACCCTATGGGGCAGTTCTCCTCTGTTCCATGGGTCCAAAATCAACTCAGCAGCACCCAAAACAACTGTATACCAAACACTGCTCTAGGTGCTGTGGGTGTGGCATGGAACATGTAGCTGAGGTTCCTGCTTCCACTCACAGTCACTTTCTAGTGCAGAGAAACAGAGTCAACCCATGAGTACAACCATTTCAGACAGTCATAGCTACTCAGGGAGGCAGGGGGTGGAAATGTGGCAGGAGAGTGAGGCACACAGGAAATTGGCTACTCTAGATTGATCCTGACCAGAAATTGGTCTCTTTCCCAATGTCTGCTGATGGATGGATTGACCAGCTCCTAGAATTGGGGAGATGGAAAAGCACTTTCATGAATCAAAGTCATAGAAATTGAGTCCTGCAAAAGCAAGGCTAGTGAACAGACCATCTGGCAGGCTCAGCAATCAGCAACAGAGTGTCCTCCTCAAAACACTGTTGGGCATAGCATTGGGAACGGAGGCTGGTCTGTCGGCTCACAGACCACAGAGGGCTCAATGTGAACGCTGCAGGCATTGGCTTAGACGCCACATTCATCCACTTGTCGTGAGTAATGTCACATCAGCATATGAAGATTAACAGTAAATAGTGTTTTGCTATTACATTTCAGTAACTTATCAAAATGTTGACATTATTTTGATAGAGGGTGATGCTTAAGTTGTAAATATTATCAATCTGCATGACAATGAAAGTAGAGCCTCCCTAACTCAATTAGTGAATTCCATCTACCAATGTCCAAAGGTTAATAGATTTCTCAACCCAATAAAATAAATCATAGTAAACAACTTGAAAATTCTGATCATTTACAATTTTACATTGATTTATTTTAGTACATTTATTTCCTTTAGTTATTAGCTTTTATGGCCTTTTTATGATTAGTTTGGTTCTCAATCTGTCACCCAAAGCAACGACATTTTCGTTCTGAAAATTAAGAATAATAACAACTGTTGTGTCTTAAATTATAAGCTGTTAGAGATCAGAGGATAGATCTCTGTAGTGTTCTTGGTACAATATCTAGTCAAGCACTGTGGGAAATGAAATACTTAATCAACGTCGTGCAGTGGAATAAGCTCATCAGTTTTCTCTAATGGGTATGCTATTGGATGAACTGAGTAGGAGTAGGTGCGTTGGTAGGTGAGAAAATCGTTTCTGTCCTCATGTGGCTTTTAGTCCAAAGGAGGAATTAATAGCTTAAGTTTCAACAACCAAGGCAACTGAAACTTAAAATCGACACTCTATGTGATTGTTTTATTTTAAAGTATTTTGTATTACTGAATAATAACTGTAAAGATTTAAATTGGAATTATCATTGTAGTCAAGACAGTTCAGGCTCCTTAGTGTGACATACATACTCTGCAGGATCTGACCCCATCTCCTTGGATACCTGCATGTCCTGCCACAGTTCCACGTACCCCCTTCCATCCAGCTATCATAACTTGGAATGTTTCTGCCTCCTCATCTCCTCAAAGGCAGTTCCCTCTGTCTGGAATGTCCTCCTGACAAACCTGACCCTCACTTTCAATCCTTTTAGAAACCCTTCCCGATACCTCTTTTCTCTTTCCACTGCTCACCTGAATTGCTTGCCCTTCCACTCCTGGTTTGTATTTAGTGGGTTTATTCAGCTCAATGTGTCTTCCCATGCTGGGCTATGTGCCCTTGGCAGTAGGGACTAAGGCTTACTCCTCCTTGTGTTCTTAGATTTGACATAGAGTTGTCCCGAATTTAAAAACAAAAAACAGTTGCTATCAAGTCAGTTCTGACTGATGACTACCCCATTTGTTTGCTCTGCTCCTTTTCAATGGCTGTGACCTTCAGAAGTTGATCACTGAACCTGTCTTCTCAGGTGTCTATGAGTGGATTTGAATTGCTGACCTTTCAGTTAGAGCCAAGCACTTAACTGTTTGCACCACCCAGGGATCCTGACCCTCAACTAAGTGTTAGATAAGTGAATGGATAAAGGAAGAGAAAAGGAATGAATGAACATGCCTGCTTAGTTAAGTTCTTTAGAGACTACATTTCCCGTTCATAATATTTTCAAAATCTCAAGTCTTCTTGAAAAATGAAATGTAGGTTAATGGAAATGTCATCTCATTTTAGTACTTATTTTACTATTGAATAAAACAAATTTTAAGTAGTTTCTAAAAACAGAAGCCTGCTTAGGTTGACCACCTATGGCTCTGCAGAAGCATAAATCTCTAAGAGCTGGTTGTCAAATACAGATGGTCTCTGTTGGTTCTGTTACAATAGATGAGCTAGTAGTCATATCACCAAATCACACTTGGTTAAGGAAAGATATCATACCAAATTTTGGGACTAAACAAGGATCTTATATTTAGAGTATACTCTCTTTTTGTAACTCTTTCCTTAATGGTGTATGTCCTAAGAAATTCATCACTTAGAAGCTCCTAAGATGAGTTAAGCAATAGGCCTCATTAATGACTGCTGTGAAACATTTGGGTTGTTATTGTTCCTGTCCAGTTGATTCCAACACATGGCAACCACCTGTGTTACATGGTAACAGTACCCATAAGGGCTTCTTGGCTGTAATGGTAACAGAAGCAGATCACCAGGGCGTTTCTTCTTTGGTACTGCTGGATGGATTTGAACCGCAAACCTTTAAGTTAGAAGTGGAATGCAAACTGTGTGTGATCCCCACCAGGGATCTAAACGCTTGTGCACCAAGCTATATTAAATGATAACACTTTAAATGTCATTCCCAATGGAGTAAGAAAGGATTGTTAATCAGTTATTTTACATGCATTATTATAAATCAGTTTCAATCTTAAGTAGATGTCAAAGACAAACATTTATTTTGACAATGTCAAAGTAAAGGGGATTCTTGTTTGTAAAGTTGGACTGTTTACTGAGTGTCTCTTATGGACTGGCAACTAATCCTGACAGAGTGACCTGGAAATCTAGGGCAGCTAGGAAGTGATCTGAATGGAGAGAAGATCATAGAAAGAATGTCGGTTTTAGAGAAAGAAGTCAGTGATTATTAGCTCCAGTCCTGGTGTGGGGCTGTGCGTTAATGCACTGGGCTGCAAAGTCGGTTTGAACCACAAGGTCAGCAGTTCAAGCTCACCAGCTGCTCCTCAGAAACCTTGTACAGGGTCGCTATGGATCGGAACTGACTTGACGGCACTTAACAACAGCAATTACTAGTTGAGCAACTTGAAACAAATCATGTAATTTTTCTGGGCCTCAGTTTCTTAATCTGTGGATTGGATGTGTCAATAAAACCTACCACCTAGAGTCAGCCGAGTACAGTGGCTCTGTAGGATAAGTGCTGAACTGCAAACCACAATGTTGGCGGTTTGAGTCCACTGGCCACTTGAGGAAAAAAGATGAAGCTTTCTACTCCTACTAAGATTTATAGCTTTGGAAATCCTATGCAGGGTCACGATGAGTTGGAATCAACTCAACAGCAGTTAACACACACACACAGAGTCAGCAAATGCAATAATACATGTGGAGCTGCTTTATGAGGTCTAAAGCATGTAAACTATAAAGGATCTGAGGGAGCTGCCCTTTGATGCAACATCTGTTTATTTTGCAATTAAAAAATGGAAAAGGAGCATTAGTCAACATTTTTGTTTAGAACTCAGCATATAAATTCACATTGGACCAAAACTGGAAAGAAGACAAAATAAAAGGCTCCAAAGGAAAAAGAATAGAACAGTGGATTTGACTTTGTCAAAATTTATAGTTATTGCTGAGCCTCATGAAAAATAATTGACGAGGCAATATGGTGATATGGAATAGTGGGAATAGCTTACTCTCTAGCATCATTGCTGAGCTCTGCCGCATATTGTGAAGAGCTTTTAGAACCATTAAAGCTTTAGCGGGAAATTGGGCTGTAAACAGGAATTGTACAGTCATTGAAATGAAGGAGGAACAGAAAAGGGAAGACAGAGATCACCGTGCACATTCCTGCAGAGACTGAGATAGGAAGTGTTTGTCTCTGCCTCCCATCTATGCCCC